GCTGCTGACATGAAAGTCCTTTATCGACCTCCCGGTAAACCTCATCCTACGAGGCATAACGGGGAGGTCGATAAAGGGATTTCAGGTCGGTGCGGGAGCGTCCAGACTAGCACGCTGTGCCAACAAACAGCTGATCAGCTGTTTGTTGGTTCAGCGCGGCAGCCATTTAAATTTAAATGAAGCCGCGATTATTTAAATTGCGGCTTCATTTCCCTTTGCCGATCAACCTAATCTACATGGCTCCATCGATGAAGCCATGTAGTTTAGACACACCCCTAGAGTCCTCAACTTAAACCCCTCCAACATATTATCAATAATCTATGAGATGCTACTAGACTATTTATTGTTTTTTAAGTTCTTCCTGTTACAGACTAACTCAGCTACCTCTGTGAAGCTATATATAAATAGTTAACCACTAAGGGTGCATCTATACAGCAGGGCTGAACTTGAAATAAGCTACGCATATTGAGCTACGTCAATTGCATAGCTTATTTTGAAATAGGGAGTGTCTACACTGCACTTATTTCGAAATAGAGCAGTGTAGTGAGTCAGCATGGCCTCCCACTGACCCAGATGAAGAAACTTCCCCAAGGACCCTTCAGTGGGCGGTGCCAGAATCACCCAGCAGTGCCCACAGGAAACAGGAAGTCAGGACTAGGGGTATAAGAAGAGGAGCTCCAAGCTCAGTTAGAGCTCTGCTGCCAAGCAGGGCAGAGGCTGTTCCCTAGCCCCAGCAGAGGAAGGCCCTGCCACGCTGCCCCCAGAAGGAGGAGTGGGTTAGGCTGCCCAGGCCATTGCTGGGCCCTGATCATTGGCCTAGACCATCATGGCTGCAGCCGGACCCAGATAACTGGGAAAGGCTGCAGAAGCTGCTGCCCGAACCCACAAATTTACCTGGCCCCCCAAGACCCTTGCTGAGCCCAGACGAGTGGGCTGGACCACCGGGACCCTTACCAGTGCAGGACCCAGAGCCTATGGATATGCTGCCTGCACCTCCGTCCCCAGCCAATACCGAGGAGCAGCACCTGACTACTGTTTTAATTATTTATTTGCTGCCTCGCCCTCACCCAGGGCCTGGGCTCATAAACTGCCAGATAATTTAACAGAAACTGCTTACCTGTTTATTTGCTGCTCTACTCTGAAAAAGGGCAGGCCATTAGAACTGATATTTGGTCTGCGGTCAGGCCTGAGGCCCTGAACTTTGGGATCTTGTGAGTCAGCATGGCCTCCCGCTGACACAAACTATTACAAGCATTTTTCCTCTGACTTCCCTTACTCCTTGTACAATGAGGGTTACAGAAGTCGGAGTAAGAAGTCCTCCAGCTTGACAGTATTTCAACATTATTTCAAAATAACTGCCTGCTATGTAGACACAGACTAAATTATTTCAAATAATTATTCCTAGTTATTTAGAAATAATATCACTGTGTAGATGTACCCTAACAGTTTACATAGTCAAAATTACCATTAAAGGACATTAGATTGCATTTTCAAACCTGGGAGTTTAAAATTAAGTACCCACACCTCTAAAAATTAGGCCACTCTTTAGGAACCCAAAAGACTGGCAGCTAACATTGAATATGGGGCCCTTCTAAGTGTATAGGGCCGTACACTTAGAAACCCGAAGGACTATTATTCAGCCCACTTCTACTCTTTGGAAGACAGCAAAGTTAGAACACCCTTTTTGCCTCTCTAATATCAGAGTTATTTCTGTCCCCACTTCTTAACTCAGCTCTTTCTATCATTCCTTATGGAACTACACCCACTATGCTTTTCTGCAGACTGTGTACATTTTAATGTCACTAAGTTTTCATGGTCAGAAGGAGTGACACAATAAATACAACAGTAATCCATTTGGGTTAAGTCATAAGTATTTCTCATGGATAAGATGCCTATCCTCAGGCACAATTCAATCTCTTCATCCTCGACCAAGATATCCCAGCATCTGACTGCTATGCCTGACAACAT